CAGGGAAGACCCCCTCAATTATAGACCTGTATCATTGACAATTGTAATAGTGAAAGTATTGGAAAAGCTAATCAAAACTAAATGGGTAGAACACCTGGAGAGAAATGATATAATATCAGACAGACAGTATGGTTTTCAATCTGGAAGATCCTGTGTATCGAATTTACTCAGTTTCTATGATCGAGCCACAGAGATATTACAGGAAAGAGATGGTTGGGTTGACTGCATCTATCTGGACCTAAAAAAGGCTTTCGACAGAGTTCCACATAAGAGGTTGTTCTGGAAACTGGAAAATATTGGAGGGGTGACAGGTAAGCTTCTATCATGGATGAAAATTTTTCTGACTGATAGAAAAATGAGGGCAGTAATCAGAGGCAATGTATCGGAATGGAGAAATGTCACAAGTGGAGTACCACAGGGTTCAGTTCTTGCACCAGTGATGTTTATTGTGTACATAAATGATCTACCAGTTGGTATACAGAATTATATGAACATGTTTGCTGATGATGCTAAGATAATAGGAAGGATAAGAAATTTAGATGATTGTCATGCCCTTCAAGAAGACCTGGACAAAATAAGTATATGGAGCACCACCTGGCAAATGGAATTTAATGTTAATAAATGTCATGTTATGGAATGTGGAATAGGAGAACATAGACCCCATACAACCTATATATTATGTGAGAAATCTTTAAAGAATTCTGATAAAGAAAGAGATCTAGGGGTGGTTCTAGATAGAAAACTATCACCTGAGGACCACATAAAGAATATTGTGCAAGGAGCCTATGCGATGCTTTCTAACTTCAGAATTGCATTTAAATACATGGATGGCGATATACTAAAGAAATTGTTCATGACTTTTGTTAGGCCAAAGCTAGAATATGCAGTTGTTGTGTGGTGCCCATATCTTAAGAAGCACATCAACAAACTGGAAAAGGTGCAAAGACATGCTACGAAGTGGCTCCCAGAACTGAAGGGCAAGAGCTACGAGGAGAGGTTGGAAGCATTAAACATGCCAAAACTAGAAGACAGAAGAAAAAGAGGTGATATGATCACTACATACAAAATAGTAACAGGAATTGATAAAATCGACAGGGAAGATTTCCTGAGACCTGGCACTTCAAGAACAAGAGGTCATAGATTTAAACTAGCTAAACACAGATGCCGACGAAATATAAGAAAATTCACCTTCGCAAATAGAGTGGTAGACGGTTGGAACAAGTTTAGTGAGAAGGTGGTGGAGGCCAAGACCGTCAGTAGTTTCAAAGCATTATATGACAAAGAGTGCTGGGAAGACGGGACACCACGAGCGTAGCTCTCATCCTGTAACTACACTTAGGTAATTACACTTAGGTAATTACCTGTTGATTGACGGTTGAGAGGTGGAACTAAAGAGCCAGAGCTCAACCCCAGCAAGCACAATTAGGCGAGTATATGAACGAATGCACATGTACACTTTCAAATGAATTAAGATACCTTGAGATACACAATGACTTAGTTTAAATAGTTTAAACACATTATGGTACTGATTTTGACATGCTGATGTCTGGAAGGGAGAGGGGGTGTGGGGGGTTATTGTCTGAGGTGGAGGACCAGAGGAGGGGGTCAGTGGAAGGATGGTGGCTGGAGGGATGCCATTGTTCTAATGGTTATGAAAACAATTATTGATGGCAGGAATTCAGTGGGTGTGTACTTCACCCACACCATCACCATACTGTGCCCTGCTACAACCCCCCCCCCCTCCACCCATGCTGTGCGGGGCGTATTACACATTATGGGATAACCGACTGTCTGTCCATTCCTGTCTGCTCGTTATGCTGCCCTTCCTTTTGAAAATTGTCTGCTTTATCGACTTCCTTCAAGACCACACGTTAGCCTCTTATCACGCCCTCTTACCACTCTCAGGGAGCCGGCTCTTCTATACAATAGTTACCACTCAGTCTCCAAGGTGAAAGAGTTGTAGCGAGTAGATTATCCCAATAATATACTCGCTCCAAATATAGTGTTAATGTTCCTGTCAACCTTTGGAGATGAATGAGGTGAGGCGTTGCCCGGGCAACACGGTGAGATGCCCGAGCAATATAAGCAGCGGTGTAGCGAACATTAACTAGTCTACTTTCAAGTGTGGTCTAGAGCAGACACTTGCGAGATACTGTACCAACGCTCAGTGCGCTCAACTCACACCAACGTATCACCTGTGTACTTCTGTATATTCGACCAAATATATATATAGTATCTTAGTGTCTGTGTTTATTTGTCACCATACTTTACGTAACAATAGAACCGTTACATTGGTGACCCAGTGAGTGAAAAAGAACACCTAGTCACAAACTAGATCTTCGTCATGGATTTATCTACCAGGTTTCCAGCATACAACGCAGATGATTCAGAATTTTGGTTCATGCAGATGGAGGCTATTTTCGACCTTCACGAAGTTTCGACGATACCCAGCCCCGATGGACTACAACATGGACTCTCACTGGACCTCTACTGCTACTGTTAGCTGTGATGGAACGCTGCCAACACCCTCGCCACAGCTATGATTTTCATCGCGATCGTCTCTGCATTTTCATTTACTACGGCTTGCTGCTCCACGATCACTACTCACTCATCTGGCAGCTTCATCAGTAACTACATAATGTGTGATCTACAGCCTGTCCTGCCGATTCTCCGTCGCTGCCAGGGCACTGCTGGTTCTACAGGGGCGCCCACGAAAGCTGCTCTTTCGTCAGATTCATCTACACGTTCACTGCATTTTGATACTCTGCCGACTCAAGCCCTTTGCGCAGTACAGGACTTACAGCTTGCGTTTCCGACTCTTCGTCGCCTCCAGGACAATTCAGCTCTAGCAGTGATTACCTCGTTGTCCTAACTACGTGCCTACATTACCTCCTAATGTCCTGGTGCCCGAGCCCATCCGCCCCGGATCTAAATGCTCCACCAGCGACCCAAGGACGCAACAATTATGCACATTCTTCTCTCCTGCTACACCGAGCTTGTCCACACACTGCCTACATATTTTAGTACCAGACTGCAATTTCCACAGTCAACAATGTAGTACTCGGCGTGTACAGTCCTAATCAACCCAAGACGCTACAGCTTCGACACAGAGCAGACAGCAGACTACGACCGCATCGAGCCGCCACGCTCTCGCTCCCCGAGTTTAGACACTCACAAATCTCAATCGAGCCGCCACGCTCTCCCACATAGAGCTCCACGACTCCGGCCTCACTCAGCTCTCTGCTCTGCTCCAGGCTTCGTCTCAACGTCTGCGACACTGCTAAATCCAGAGACACATCCGCCGACTACGCAGTTCACTTTTCGACCCCAGTTACCAGCCGCACCACAACCTGATCCTACGACAACGGACGATCCTGTACGACCTCCCACCCTACAACCCCAGTTACCAGCCGCACCACAACCTGATCCTACGACGACGGACGATCCTGTGCGACCTCCCACCCTACGGCCCCAGTTAGATGACATCAGCGAAGAGGAGGAAGTTAACTTTGATGGTTATGTAACGCGAGCAGGGCGTACAATTCACCGACCAGCTAAGTTCCTTGATCAAGTATTTTTCCTTTCATCCCCTGGGAGGGGGAGTTCTGTAGCGAGTAGATTATCCCAATAATATACTCGCTCCAAATATAGTGTTAATGTTCCTGTCAACCTTTGGAGATGAATGAGGTGAGGCGTTGCCCGGGCAACACGGTGAGATGCCCGAGCAATATAAGCAGCGGTGTAGCGAACATTAACTAGTCTACTTTCAAGTGTGGTCTAGAGCAGACACTTGCGAGATACTGTACCAACGCTCAGTGCGCTCAACTCACACCAACGTATCACCTGTGTACTTCTGTATATTCGACCAAATATATATATAGTATCTTAGTGTCTGTGTTTATTTGTCACCATACTTTACGTAACAATAGAACCGTTACAGAGTGTCCGGGCATATGACTTGTTACGTGTACTTATTTGCGATTCGTTTGGGCTGTCACGTGTGGTGATTAGTGTTGGGTAAGGCTAGGCCAGGTCAGGTCAGACTAGGCTAGGTAAGGCTAGGCCAGGTCAGGTCTGGCTAGGCCAGGTCAGGCCAGGCCAGGCTAGGCAGGGTGAGAGAAGTAAAGCGGCAGGTACTTACGTTTCCGAGAAAGTAGCGGCGGTAGTATATTGTTGATTTAGATTCGACGACATTCGACGACATCCTGAAGCTAGTAGGTGGCGGCCTCATCGCTCTCGAACTTCTTGTTGTTGTAGGGGATACGAGGAACACCCAATATCCCCCTTACATTGATCACATCGCACACTAATATTTTTACTATTTCGGACACCAGATTTGTCTGTTTCGTATATGTATAATTGTTCAATATTAAAACCACAATAGAATGCTCTTAACAGTTACAATTTTCAACTTAACAGCCATATAGTTGGCAAGAACGCCGCCCGCCAGTGTAAATGTTGGGAACCTTAATGGAATCTGACCCATATATCAATCAGGTCAACCCATGTGTTGCGTTTCCAAAAGGGTCGCCCATGTTAGAATCGGTGAACGCCCTAGTAATATTGTTGAAAACACCTTAATAACTTATTAAACCAAAGGTCTTTTTATGTCAGAAGAACGGCAGAAACTGGAACTATATATGAAAACTCTTTCAGGACAAAATTTAAAGTAAAACTAAAGATATTTGTAGTTGTATAAAAGTTGCATTTTTCATCGGTCGTAGAGCCGGAAATCCGCAATATTCATCTCAGAACAATGCTTATTTCACGCAGAATCGTTAATAAACGTAAGATTTTTATACGTCTCAAGAAAGATAGAAACATAATCTTACTTTAATCTAGTTTTACATAATCTAGTTTTACTTTAAATTTTGTCCTGAAAGAGTTTGCATATATAGATCTAGTTTCTGCCGTTCTTCTGACATAAAAAGACCTTTGGTTTAATAAGTTATTAAGATGTTTTCAACAATATTACTAGGGCGTTCACCGATTCCAACATGGGCGACCCTTTTGGAAACGCATGGAAACGCAACACTTGGGTTGACCCGATTGACAGACTGGCTATATTCCAACAGGGTCTGAGACACAACGATGTGTTCTAAACAGCAAAGAAAATGTGTGACCCACTGGATATTAAACTGAAACATGACAAGGAACCCTTAAGTTCAAATACGTTCTGAAAAACAGCTTCCAGAGACTTAAGTTACACCACATTATTGCCTTTATAGGCTGATTGACAAGTCAACATGTCCTTCAAACGTGAAACAGATTCAGATTCATCCTACGTTGAACAACTTAAGGTAATATTCGTTTTTAAACTTTTTGTAATAATTTGTGTTCACTTCTAGGCACAAGTTATTTATTTATTGTATTTATTTATTTATATACAAGAAGGTACATTGGAGGTTAACAGAGAATATAGGAATTAAGTTGAATTTACATTCTTGTAAAGCCACTAGCATGCATAGCTTTTCGGGCAAGTTAAACTGAAGTTGAAAATTTGAGAACTATCTAAAGCATATACAGTATTTTGTTTCTTATTAAGGTATAGTTGCCTCTGGATGGATGGTCATTGATTTCCAGACACAAGTGCCTAAAAACACGAAGCACATACAAAAGATAAGGAACTTATTGAGTATAATGCAAAAACATACTGAAAGCGTGAAAAGAAACTTATAAAAACCGGTTAGAATAAATCAATTCATAAATATCATAACATAAATATTTCCATTAAACAATTCCACAGTAGCCTTGACGAGGGTTCGAACCTATGCACTGGGTGTTCCTAGGCATGCTCTAGTCAACTGCACCACCACGTGGTTAAAAGAATTGCAACCTAGGGTACAATTATTTCACCCGCAAGGGCCCCAAGGCTTCCACTGAAGCCTAACCGAGGTTTCACACAATTTCCCTATGCACTCAACCTCTGTCAACCAGTACTACTACCTCTGTATTGAACTGGAGGAATGCTGCATTAAATTGTTAATTGTGTATGGTCTAAACTTTACATTAAGCTGTTGTATCTTACTGCCTCTTTCTCCAGGAACGACGCGTGAGTGAGCTCCTAGCTGAAAATATCCCAGAGGACGAAGCACTTCTTATTAAGAACGGCAGGTAAGATTTAAAAAATCTTTAAAAGCAAATAAAAAAAATTTGTAGCTTGCTTTGGTTATGGTGGAGTGAGGAGGTATCGCAATGTCACTGATTCATGATTGCTGGCCACTAAATCCTGAATATGAATAATTTTTCACATTTATTTTCTACAGGAACATGTAGTTTCATTGGATGATGTGGAGAGGCAAGAACTGCTGCTGTGTGCTATTTGTCTTGTTTTGAGAACATCACCAGTACTGTACTGGGTTTACATCTTCAAATGCACAAAAAAAATCACATTAATGTTATATAGAACGCCTATACCACAGCCAGATCCTTTTGCCTTGTAATCTCCTCACCTGCCATCTTTTCCAATGTATAAGAATAGTACAGTACTGTATATCTTTTCTATTATTGAATTATGGAACAGTATTTTGTTTTGCTTAACCTTTCTGGTAGGTTTCTTAGATTCTCAAGCTTCCCTAGCCTTGTAGGGAGTCAAATTTGGGTCCTTACACCAATTAAGGCCAGTGTGGGTCTCTTAGGCTCCCCCGTGTGCAAGCTCCAGGTAGCTATTGTGGGCTCACCGAAAAGTGACCATTTCATTGCATTCAGTGCTTTATTTTTACTTGTGTAACTTTTTTATTTGCAGATATGCATGTTTGGTATGCAGCCATCGACCAATATGTGATACTCTCCCAATGTTGTCTCGACACAGAGCTGGAAAAAAACATCTCTACTGTGAGTTCTTTTGAAAATGTGAGACCAAATGAATTAATTAGTCTAATACTCTATTGTATAAAATTTGTTAGCTTCTTTAAATGAGAATACAACCACATTCTGCATAAATATTTACAAAGGGTTTATGAATCACACAACAGTTTACATAATTGCTTACAAGGATGATCTTGATTGGACTTCAGAGGCTGTGAAGCTGTAGATATGGAGCCCATATGAACATGAGGGAAGGGGAAGATTATCAGGGAAAAGCGCCAAGCCAATATGACTATATATCATTTGGAAGGGGTCAGGATAAGGATTTGGGATGGGTCGGAGGAAAGGAATGGTGCCCATAGCATGTACAACATTTAGAGGACACTCGGTTGTGAAATATACCAGTGCATTTATATAATAATTATAATTGTCATAGCATTGTTTGGAGATGAATTATTTTAACAACCAAATTGCAATTCATGTTGTGTATCATTTGAGTATAGTGTTGATACCATACAGCTCATCTACAAGTCTTAATTTTTTAGGTGGCTTTTTGAAATTTAGTTAAAATATTATTCAGAACTTTGTATGTACAGTACACTATTATTTTATGAAATTTACATGAACATGTTTCCTCAATCATGGTGGCTTTGTTTTCATTTATGAAACAGTTTGAGCTTTGAAACTTGATAATCCAAAGCTGTCATTGTTATAAACAAGCTCATAGAACTCTGGAGCTCACAGATTGATTGATAAATGTAAACAATGTCACCATGATTGAGGAAACATGTACAGGTTTTGTAAGTGGTAGCTTGATGAAACCTGGTCCAGCCTCTGGCCCTGTGATGCAAGTGGTGCGTGAGGATCAAATATTATTCCAAAACAGAAAAAATATGCAGGCTTAGCACCTTCTTTTGATAATTACTTACTTTGTAAGTGGATGCATAAATGTTTGATGAATCGTGGTCCAGATAGGCCAGGGTGGGCCTCGGAGGACTACTGTAGTTCATTTACCCAAGGCTTGATACTACTGGGAGCTACTGAGGGCCCCACCTGAGAAGGGCATTTCATTACATTCAATGAATGATTTTTGGTCTGCCGTGTAAATGATTTTTAGATGAACGTTTCCATCATGGAAACGGGTGGTGCATACAAATATATAATAAATTTTGCTACATTTTAATTAGGCCTTTCGAAGTTCATGGAGAAGAAGACGGAGATGGAGCTACTCATATTAAAGCATCAACAAAAAAACACCTTGAAGATTGACCAAGCTAACAACCCAGTGTCAACAGCTGTCCCCCAAAATAATCAAAGCCGTGCTCATCAACTGAGGTTCGTAATTTTTACAATAAACTTTCTTATTGCTGTGGATTTATTAGTCTTATATATGTTAAGATAGTGTTTACTGGTGAATATAGCTGAGCAGCATTGTTTCATGAACAGCAAACAAGACGTGGCATTGAACATAAAAATAATTGAATATACTGAAGGCCTGTTGGCCTATACAAGGTGGCTCATATTTATATCCAACTATTTTCACTTGAGTACTTATCCGGCCTATGCTTTAAACGTTCCAGTGAGATTTCTATGGTGTTACTTGGTAACTTGTGAAACAAATCACCAACCTATTTCTAAACGAGTATTTGCCCATATATTTGCTAAATTAAAATTTCTCCAATTTGAATCCATTATTTTGTTATAACTTGGATTCATATATTTAAAATCTTATTCATATTGCCTTTTCAAAACCCTCTTCATTCATTACTTCAGTCATGTCCCCTCTCCCTTTGTGCCTTTGATCCTGTCATTATTATATGCTAGATTATGCCAGGTTCCACCCCTGGTTTTCAATTGATGGTTGGTTTGGTGAGGAATGCCAGTCCTGTGTAGCAGATAATTTGTTTACCTTATGGCTGCTGGTTGAGTCATGATGGTTCTCCACTTCCCTTGTTCTCTCCTCCACTACTCTACCTGGTTGCCTTGAACTTTGTGCTTCTGTAACGCTTTACAGTCCCCCTCAAAGCTGTGAAGTGGAGGGTGATATTCCACCCTCCAACTTTGAACAAGGGAGTTCTGCCATTCAAACGTGGGAGCCGGTCGGCCGAGCGGACAGCACGCTGAACTTGTGATCCAGTGGCCCTGGGTTCGATCCCAGGCGCCGGCGAGAAACAATGGGCAGAGTTTCTTTCACCCTATGCCCCTGTTACCTAGCAGTAAAATAGGTACCTGGGTGTTAGTCAGCTGTCACGGGCTGCTTCCTGGGGGTGGAGGCCTGGTCGAGGACCGGGCCGCGGGGACACTAAAAGCCCCGAAATCATCTCAAGATAACCACTCAAGAAAACAGGGCACTGGCAGCCTGGTACTTGGTTAGTGTTCCAGGCCTCCTCGCCTGGGAAATGCGCCATGTCTCTCGGCCTGGTGTCTCGTCTTCATGCTGACTACCTACGGTTCTTCCTCCTCCCTGGTGAGTCCAAGGAGGAGGAAGAACTTTTTTCTTCTCTGTAGGTAGTTAACTTCAGGGAGCCACAAGGAGATTCCCACAGAGAACCAGCATTGAATAAAATGAAACACCAATTTCTGGGTAAGCCCTGGTGGCTCTCCAATTTCCCCCCCTCCCTTCCAGGTCATTGGCTGGGCATTGTTCTGTGTGCATTTGATTCAGAACTGAGTACTTGGGCCAGTAGGCAGCATGAACCCCAGCCCCTCACCCAACTTTCCTCAAGAGAGTGGGAGGGATGGGGCAAATTAGTGCATGCTTGTTTCAATAAATTTTCTATTGCATTTTTGCATTGTTGAGGAAGTTCGTTCAGCAAATTGCAAGGTTTCGGTTTCTTTGAACCCAGCAGTGATCTGTGTTGATTCATTGACTTTCTGGGTGCCTTTTCCAGTGAGGTGGCAAAGTGTCACCTACTCTCTGCTCCTCTGAGAGGGGCCAGGTTCTGGCTTTGGTTGTTAGATGGCAGCTGAACTTGTCTCCATAGCTGATGAGATTTAGTAGTTGGGGCCATTTCAGTGAGATATATTCAGGGAGCCACTGAGGCTCGCCCAAGAAATTGGCATTTCATATCATTCAACACTGGTTTTTTTATATGTTCGTTTTAACATTTATCCAATGTCATTATTGGTGTAATGTGTATGAAGACATTTGGCATATTACACTAATTAGATATCCCAATTGAAAAATATCAAATTTATGTACGTACACATATATATATAACAAATAAATATATATTGAATAACACAAAATATGCAATGAACATGCCAAGCAAGTCTTTGGACAAATTTATAGTTGGTCAAATTGAAACATTAAAATTTTTAATTAATTCAAAGACAAGCTGTTTTATGCCTGTGCATTATATGGTATACAGTATTTATACGTGCCATTACTATATTCTTTCCAGTGGAATGATAAGGACGTCCTCTACAAACAACCAAGATAAAAAACGCTCGAAGCTCTCTCCTTACAGTCGCAAGGCGAAAATTTATTTAAATAAATCTGGTAAGTTAAATATTGTTGTAGGTAAAACAGTTAACCTTTTGTGAGCAAGGGCCCCCTCATTTACTCCCAGAGACATGGATTTGCTCGCTCTGGACACCACGTTCCCATCAGGCTCTTGTTGACTTGTGTTTCATGATGAAAATTATCTTTACAAATGTCTTGCTACCTTAATTAGAGAGGGAAGACAGGGAAGATAATGCTTAATCCTCCAGCAAAAAATGCCTCTCACTATAACATGTTTTGTTTCTACTCTTACATCACCTCCTAAGTACTAACTGGAAAACACAAGTCACTCAAGTTAAAATTATGCTAAAAAACTCTGGTTGCTATTCTGCCTCTAAATGTCAGAATGTCTGGTTATTGTTTTTCCAAGTCAACTGGGTTTCAAGATTTTCTCAGATGCTGTCTTGTACACCTTTGAGCTAGGCCACTTTCTAGCCAATACCTTGAGAGAGATTTGCTTTAGAGGATTTGACTTGGAGACGAGTCTTATTTACTCACTGTCCATGACCACTAATGTTTAACCCACTAATGTGCGCTACGTCTGGGGATGATCTTGCTAATTATCCGTAAACTGTGCAACACAGTTGGGGAAATTTTGAAATATTGCATAAGATTTTAAACAGAATCTCAGAAGTGGTTGTTTATTCAGTTGAGGTGCTTTCACTGCACCTAGTTTATGCTTGCTATGGACAGTCTAGGCAGCCGGTATTCCTCTCATAAGAATGAGGAGTATTGTCAGGTCTATATTTTTGAGCAGGCAGTTATGACTGACTTGCTTGCTTCCATGCCTGATACCGTTGTACAGCTTTCATGAGTTTAAGGTGTATTGGACCCCAGTAGCCATTCTTCTGCCTCTATCACTTGGCTTGTTGGATTCAAGAGTCCATTCGGCCTCGAATGTGTGCCATTTGTCAGTGCTGGGATCCTGTACTGGCTGATCTCTTGTCTCAGACAGTGGGTTATCAGGTTGCATTGGCTTTGTCACAAATCAGTCTTGCCATCGATAAATACTGCAATAGATTGTGTCTACCAATTGCTGTTGTTTTACCCAAGATCATCACTGTTCAGCAAATGGTTCAGGCCTTTATACAGGGCATCCTGTAAATGATGACAGAATTGAACACACACAGCACTGGGGGTTGAGCAACCTCATTCTACCATAAAACAATGGGGTGACAATTTATTGAGCAAAAAATACCCTGTAATCATAACCCTTAATACTGTTAATCAATTAAGCGGAAATGCGGAAATGCTTAATGATAGTTTGGACACATTGAAGGAGGGAAGGAAATTATCGGGAGAAAGCGCCGAGCCATTACGACTATATAGCAATTCTAAGTGATCAGGATAGGTGTTTGGGATGGAACAAGGGAAAGGAATGGTGCCTAACCACGTAGATGGTCGTGGATTGAACGCCAGTCTGCATGAAGTGAGACCGTCAATCTGCCGTTGATGGTCTTGCTTCATGAGACCTTGGTCGGTAGAGCTAGTCATCCTCTCAAAGTGGACACTTTCAGAGGATGACTGTTACACTGGTAGGGGAAGATGTACAAAAGTCAAATATAGTGCTTGAGTGATGGGTAGGCAACCAAAATGGCATAAAGGAGTATAGATTTTGAGATTATGAACAGTCAGTCAGGAAGTTTTACAGTCAGATATATTTAGATGCTGATATATTCATAATACAGTACTGTACTTTAATTTTTGTATGTATTTCAGATGGCTGTAGCATAGGATTTATTTCTCAAAGGCACATTAACAATGTAGCGGATGAGGTTACAAAATATGTTAACAGGACTTGGCAAAAGAATGACTTTGTTGATACTGTTATGAAGGAGAGATGTTTGTCTCAAATGCCACAGTCTACAAGCACAGCGCCTGCAATAATGGACAAAAACCCACCTGAAGACACATCACAGAGCACTGGAGGAAAAGCATCAACTATAGTCGATTCAGAATTGAACCTAAAGAGAGAGAAATATTACCAGAATCTGCGAGCCTCAGGATGGAAGAGAAATTTGTTGGGAAACTGGACAAGGGATAATGAAGCTGAGTTTGACAGTGATGAAGAGCCTCCACAAGAGTTTGAAAACCAACTTCAATAGTTTTCTTAATTTCTTGTTCCTGTGAACATTATTTTAACTGTTTTTATATATACAGTATTTGTTTTTCTTAAAAGGCACAATCATATGTTCTTTTATTCTTTTTACCTTCACTTAATGTCTTGTTATTCATAGAGTTAGTTCTGAAAGCATAACAGATGATTTTTGACATCCATTATCCTTTGACTCACCATTTATCTCTTTGGCTTCATTAACAAGATTTTAACAAACCATACAGAAGATTGTTTTTCCAACAATTAATGGGTAAGATATCACAGTGCACAGGTTGAAACCCTGCAATTACTTTGGATGCCAGATTCACAAGATACTGCACCACTTTGCATCCTTTCCTTTGTTTAGACATGAATCACATCCATTATACTTAAAAGTAGAATGAGAAGGAACTACAGTATATTGATTTAGTGTTTCATGGCCTCCCCATTCAGTTGGAAATAACAGGTACCGAGAGAAGTTCAGCACTGTACTTTACAGTGTATATTGAATATTTTATCAATATCATGTGCTGAATTTGTTGCAGTTTACCATTATTGGAGGCAGGAAGCCTGCTAGGCTTATTGAGGTCCTTCTAGTCAAGAGTGAGGCTGTCTTCAAGATTGTGCAACCAGTTATATATACTGAGAGAGAGATGCATCATCAACTGAGAAAAGAAAGCCAATTGAAACCATTGTAAGCTGTGTCCCAGAGTCATGTCATGTGACCTCTGTTGCTTTTCCAAATTTGCAGACAATGCTAAAATAGTGTAAACTGAATTTGGACGAAAACACAAAACTACTACAAGACAATTTAGATAAGCTTTTAAAGACAAAGAAGTAATGGTAATAATTACCGTACCAGATATTTGCTGTGCAATGTTGAAATTGTGATACTGTATCTGAATGCAAAAAGAGATTTGAGAGGCATGGCTGGTAGGAATCTTAAGGCAAAAATTCAAAGCAATATGGACAGGCAAAATATACTATATACAAAGTAGTAACAGAAATTGACAATATAGCCAAGAGTTTTTTAAACATGCAACTTCAAGAACAAAAGGTCATAGACTCAAACTAAGAAAACAAAGCTGTCGAAGAAACATCATAAAATTCTCCTTGGCAGAGTTGAAATATGTTGAACCTGCGTGCATCTAGGAGGTTCATTACAGTATAGCTATTCCACTGGGTAGTCTGAAAGCAAATTTCTTTGTATCTAATGGTATTTTATTCATGTTTGATGAAGTAGGTATTAGTTACCCTAATACTGTTAAGAATATGTTGACAAGTTTTTAGATTTATTTTTAAATACAGTACTTCAATATGCTAACTTTCCTTGTCCTACCATTTGATGCATATCTGTATGCATTTAAATATAGCAGGACATTCATGAGATATGCAAAATATTGTTCATCTTATTCACCAAAATAGATCCTGTTAAGCACATTATTTTCGAGAAATCTCTCCAAACAAAACGAGCCAACTGTTGGACAACGAGTCTGCCAAGATCCCATGAGGTACTGATCACTTTACCATCTTTAGCTTCCACAATACTTCCATCACTCTTGAGGCTGTACTCATAACTTCTGAATATGGGAAAAGATAGGAAGAGTCTCGTCATTACTATATTCCACATCTTTTTTAAGAAAGGTGGAGGTTGATTCAACCCTGCTTCTGTTGCTAAGTCTTCCATATATTGCCACTGATCAGTAGGCAGCATATGAAAGTGTTTGGTTTTCAAGTCTTGCTTTTTCCACTCTTCATGAATTTTGTCGTTGATTGCAGTCATTTCATCTGGTGTAGGGAGTTTAACACTACCAGTCAGTGTAGCCAGGAAGTACTGAACCTATGGGAGGGGGGAGGGGGGAGGGGAAATAAAAGATGGTTAGAAAGCAGGTGTCAGGATAAATCAACATAGGTAAAATAAGTACAGGGTATACACAATTGTCCAAAGACAAATTTTAACTGAGTTTGGTATACACTCCAGCAGTGGTTATGCTCAGGCATGGTACTGTTCATGCTCAGGTACAGTACTGCTTTTGCTCAGGCATGGTACTGGCCATTGAGCCAAATAAAATGTGACCCTACATAGCATGAACCACCTAAATTTTTATTTTCAGTATTTTTAAGTATTCCTTATTTTTGCTAGGGGTTCCAAAATTATGAATTTTGAATCCCTGAATAATGAATTTTCAGGATCATATTAAATTTGTAAATGTTTCATGTTAACAAATTAAAAAATCTAACCTGATAGTTAATTATCTGAAAGACAATAACCCTGGATGGAATTCCAATGAAAGCCATTGATGGGTAGATGGAGTTGATTAGGTGTTTGTACAGTGGCTTCACACAGTTGTCGTCTACCTGGATTCCACATTCCTCCGTCAAAAAGGGAAAACTGTATTTATAACCTGGAAAGAGATTTAATGCCTCATCAAAATCAATAGTTACTTTATACAGTATGACACTGGAATTTATCAAGCAGTCCTTAACTAAGTGAGTGAAAAAATTATAAACTTTAATAGTAATAATTAATAAGCTGTAAAAAAATATATGAAGTTAGTCTCATGAAGTGACTTAGAAGCTTCATTTAAAAGAACTTAATGCGTGGATGCAGAAGATACCTATCATTAAGAAATAATATAAGAATAAATAGTGTAGAGCAACCAATATAGATACCTGTGCAAAACACAATGGCATCAGCTTGAGCCCTAGAGCCATCAGAAAACACAAATCCTTCCTGTGTTGCCTTCACTGCTCCAGGTACTTGATAGATATTGGGAGGCAGTTCAGAAGGGATTGACACAGGAAGGTTGTGAGACAGAAGTACCTGGGAAAGAAGACGTGTAATAGAGTATAACTTTTGGAAGTGAAAATGCCAAGCAGGTTTGGAGAGATGATCTCATTAGTTATTACCTTTTAGGAGATGGTAATTTGTGTTAAATTTGTACGAGTAAAACTGATGTGTGTATAATCTCAGGGTTCAGAATGTGACTTAATGCACACTTGCCCCTAAAAGTAAAATTATTTCAATGTGTTAAGAATATGAAAGGGAAACTTGAAGCATTTGCTAATAAATCTCATTCACGTGTGTATTTGCTATAACATACGGTTTGTTCTTTTGATAATTACTGCCTACTTGCTTTAATATAAAGCATTGCTACTTGCATTAAAACATGAATGTATAGAATTATTAATGAGCAATGTCGTCATTAACTGTTTTATACAAGTACGAAAACAGACAAAACATGAAGATAGAAAGGTAAAAGTAAATACAGTGAGTAGTGTAGTTATTTCACAGCAGATCACACCCGAGTTTGATTCCTGGGCAGAGTGAGAAATTTGGGCATGTTTCCTTATACCTTATGTATTCATATCTGCACATACCGCACCACTGCTGTCATGGCCCCTAAATCAACAACATGCTAATGCTGTTAAAACAAGAACAAAACTTAAGTTTAAAATACAAGACATATGAAAAATCTACTCATACAAATTGAAGGTACATTGAAGGTACAAATTGAAGGTACAAGGTACTTTACCTTGTCTGCCACTGATGATAGTTCTAGCGAGATATCAAGACCTGATGCACCAGCTCCAAGAACCACTACTGTGGACCCTGCATAAGGTGAAGGCTTTCGGTAATCATGGCTGTGCACCTGTAGTCCCTTGTAATTTTCTATGCCTTCTATATGTGGTGTATATGGCACTGTAAAATGTCTGGAAAAATAGTACACAAAATTTACATCTTATGTTGGTCTACATATCTCTTAAGAAATTAATAAACATCGTAAGTCTCTCTCCTCCTGGACCATTCAGCCATGATTAAGTACTGTACTGTAAAGATTTGGGAAGGAGCATCTTAAAATATTTGCTAAAAAATTTCCAAATTTTGGTTTGCCAAGATATTTTGTGTGACCGTAATGGAAGTGGTAATGTAGTCACACATAATTATCAGCTGATTGAGTAAATTTAAGTTCCAGATGTGGCTCCATTCATGGCTCCATTCATGGTTGCCAATCATCATCTGAGGTCAGGCTAATGTTTGTTTTGACGTTTCAAGTCTATGTACGAAACTGGTGAAGCATGAAAGCCAGTGACTACTTAAATCTTATCATCTTACCCCAGGAGGATGTGTGCGTATAGAGCTGGGTCTTGAAAGAGGCAAATGATGTTTCTGCTTTCACATGCTCATGCCCACTTTGGGACTGTCAGCCCTAGCAATCTCAATATATAGGCAAGATGACAACATTGATGCAGGCAACTTCTTCAAAAGGTCAGATGTAACACAAACAAGGAGCAATGGTTTCAAGTTCAACAAGCCACAATATAGGACAGGATGACTACAAATTTTTGTAGGACAAAATTTTAAGCAGGGCATCGGAGGTAGGCAGCCTTACCCAGCACACACATGCTGGGCATTGCAGGCAGACAGCCTTACCCAGTACACACATTCAGGGCATTGCAGGCAGGCACCCTTACCCAGTACACACAAGCAGGGCTTCACAGGTTGGCAGCCTTACCCAGTACACACAAGCAGGGCTTCACAGGTTGGCAGCCTTACCCAGTACACACAAGTAGGGCATCACAGGTTGTGGAGGATGTTAAACCAGAGGTCAGGTCCCTGACTGTGACCGCCCAGGCTGGGGGACCCTCCGTCTTCATTATGGGCGACACCTTCTCAACGTGGTGACCAAACTATCAAACATAAACAGATTTACAAAACTGTTAAACATTTCAAGATTTCAGTGGGCATAATATCCAAGAGTAACATTAATTCAATGTTGAATTAATGATATTCTTACATTAATGTGGATTCTTACATGTAATATACATTCTTACATGTAATGTACATTCTTACATTACATTAAAACATTAATTCAATGTTGAATTAATGATAGTGCCCATTGTTCAGTAAGCACAATATCCAAGAGTAACGGCACTGACGGGTGCCGTTACCAAAATTCATGGTAAAAAAATCTAATAATTATTGAAGGATTTATTGTCTACAACATTTCATTTTTCTCTAGAGCATCTTAAGGTAAAGAACAAATACATGTGGTATAATTTTTGGTTAAATACACATGTGTGCAAGAGTCGAAGGAGTATTGGGTGAGGTGATCCGGGCAATCAAATATAGAGCATTGTAATATATAGCATTAAAATATAGCATTGGGTAAAACTCTGGTAATCACGGTAGGCAGAGAGACCTCAGTTGAGACGTCATTAGCTGGTGAAGTATGGTGAGATTTGGGTCTGAGTGTTGGCAAGGAAGCAAAAGTTGTTATTCTGTATATTTAAGGCAGGTCTTTTTCTCTTATAAGTATAGCTTCCAAGATTTGCAATCTTCTTTGGTCAGTGTTAGATTCCATATTTTTGTGGAATGGAATTTTTTGCTAGCATGTTCCTAGTAAGTGTCGCGTTATGTTCACTTTGCATGGGATTTCTGGAGGCACCAGCTTGTAGATGGCAAGTCAGACTTCTTGAAAGCTTTGTGGTGGTCACACCAATATAAGTAGATCGAAGGTGACATCCTTCATTGTGGGATGTAAATATCGTTTGTTTTTTCGAGGGGGTTGTATTGTCCACCCCATACCTCAGACCATGTCCCAAAAAATTTAGGTAAAGCTAGCACAAAGCATCTGGCCTCCAACTGTGAACAGACATATAATACTACTCTTTGTAACACCTCTTTTAATTGTTATGTACAATATTTAGTATGTGTGGGGGTTGGGGTCTGAATAGTTAAAGGTAGTATCATCAGGTAATATGCTGCCAGGGAAGCATATCCAGGGTCTGAATAAATGGTATAAGGATCCTGGCCTAGCACTCAAATAATCCTGAAACCACTTGTGGTTGCTATTCAGAATAACAGCAGCAGTGCTGGACACTAGTATTGACATCACCTTAATAGGGGACTGAAGAGGGAGGAATACCAGACAATTATGGGCACTAGGTCATGAGGCAACGAGAATGGTAAGCCCAATATCACATCAGCAGGTACGTTGAATAGACTTGACACTAACCTTGATACACCGATGGATGCCATAGTGCTGAGTATAATCCTCCAGGTACTTGAGGACTGTTGTGTGGTGCATAAATGATTTACTATCCTCAGGAAATGGAAAATCTGGGAATGCCATCATCATTTTTGGCAAGTCAGTCCTATAAACAGTGTACAGTACATAGATTAACCCATTAATTACATATTGGGATTGAATGGCAGATTGTAATATTTATATTTTATTATAGATTTTAAATGCATACAAGGGGCAGAGGTTTTAGGCTCAACAAGCCACAATGTTAGACTGAAAACAGGAGATGCTTTTTCACCCACAGGATTATAAACCCATGGAACCGCTTACCCGCCGAAGCTGTACATGCCAAAACTTGTTTAAAATTCGTCTGAAAAAAAAATCCTCAGGAATAACGAGGGGACCATTGACAAATAGCCGGCTTCCTGTCGCTAGAGAGATAGTGGCCCTCGGTTAAATTCAGGTAAATATCCCTTACATGTGTTATATTTACTAACTGATTAAAAAGTTTCTACATCCTATAGTCGCCAAACAATCTGTCTTCAAGGAGATCTGCTCAAGGGGGAATAGATTGGGAATGACCACATAATTAATGCTATTATCTATTCTCTATCTATGGTTAGGTTACGGTTACTTTAGATTAAGGTTTGAATAGTTTAGTTTAGGTTTCATTACGTTTGGGTACATTAATACAGTACAGTGTATTATTAACGATGATGTGAAATATGAAATTCGAAAACTATTTGCGTGCCCACAAATTCTGCTTACAGAAAACCAAGTTCTTCAAAGAAAACATTTTTCACCATACACTTTTTATATTTTAAACCAACTATTTATATTATAATAAAGTTGTAACTTGGGAGTAATCTGTTTATGACAAATGTTCAATTGCCAGTTTATGTGTAGACAATTTCTGAAACTGTAATATGCTTTCAGACCATCACAAATATCTAGATAACTATCCAGGTTGTTTGAGGACGAGTGTGGTTTCTCATAGTAATTGATTTGCTCTGAGGACGGGCTCCCCCAAAATGTGCTGAAAGTGAAAGCAGAAGTTCCATGAAAATTTCAGACAATGTATTACTGAACTTGCATAGTAAAAAAAATTCTAATACTACTGAACAGTATTTTCCATATAAATACTAACATATTTAAAAACAAATTAATTATTCATATTTACCTAAGGTTTTCATACATGCTAGAATGGACAGGCAAGCTATTGGTGCCAACATGGTGAGAGAGCCTCCAGGTGCCCCCCACGTGGGAGGAGGACTCCCACACCACAGGTCTCCAGTGCTCGCTGGCCAGTATATGGCGAGCCGCGCACACACCCGACGCGCCCGCCCCGATGATCCCTACTACATTCATTACCCTGAAAAACAATTATTCAAATACTATTTATTGAACATTATAAATAACATGAATATATATTCTGAATGTCCTATTGAAATGTGACGTAAATAATGGCATACCGAGGCCATAGGACAGAGGGTATGGTGCACTCCATACCCCTCATACTGCCCATACCGACAGAGGGGCACTGGTGGCTGAGTGGACAGCACGC